AGCTTCCAGACTAAGCCTAGACTGGGAATAGAAGTAGAGTAGCTAAATCAAGGGAAGAAATGATGAAGTAAAAGAGGTGATCAGAAAATTTTTAAAGTCTAAGAAGAGTAAGTAAAGGATTATAATTGTGCTAGTTAGATTTTATGTCAACTTGTACTTATGTAGGGGTGGAGTTCTGTCTGCCAATTAAGTCAATGCCTCATGGAGATGTGGCCTTTTTAAAAGGGAGAAGCTGGGAATTCTGTTCTCTCTGTGATCCCTCACGTTCTTGAACCCTGACACTCTGTGCCTGCCTCCAGTGGCAGCCCAATGTGGGCCACCAGACGCTGACAGCTATCAGTGCCCTATCACATTTCCACTGCCCTTGGATCCACAAGTCCCTGCAACCCGTAGCCTGTGATTTCCCTGCCTCCCACTTTCCCTTTCTGCATCACCAGTCGACAGCTACGTGAGTCTGAAGTAGACTCCAGCACCAGACAGATCCATGGGCTTCAGTTGGCCTGAGCTGGAAGTTCTTCTTGTTATGGAATTCGTTCCTAAATATACATGAGTCTCACTGGACATGTTTCTCTACACAACCCAGCTGAACTCAATAATGAAATGTGCAAAGATCTGGAGTTAGAAAGTCATAAAGGGAGAATATGCTTTTCTCAAAATGAAAGAACTGAAAGAAAAATTTCAAGTTTGATGTTGTTTCTATTGGCAAATTATTGAATAATGCAGGAAGCATCAAAAGATGGAAGGAATCCATATAGTCACTGTATGAGAAAGAATTTGTTAATATTCACCTGTTTCAAGAGGCAGTGTATGAGGAACTGATGATATTGAAGATAAACATTCCAAGCTTCAATGAAGGCATTAGCAATAAAAATAAATTAATTAAAAAAATAAACCAAGGTTTCAGCAATCGATGGAATATGGATTTCAAAATGTTTCAAAATGAAGCACTGGAAGCACTTACCCATCTGTGCCAAAAATTCTAGCAGACAGCTACCTGGCTAACTGACTGGGAGAGATCCACTGTGACACCTATTTCAAGGTAAAGTGGCCCAACAAAATGTGAAAATTACCAAACAATATCATATGCAATTAAAATTTTGCTGAAGGTAAAAAGGCAATGAAGCAGTAAGTGAAGTTAGTCAATCACAAAAGGGCAAACACTGTGTGAGTACACTACTTTAAGGATAAACACTAAGAAGAAAGCAGGTTTCTGCTTTCAGGCCA